TCGCATCCGTTTTTAGTGTCGGTCGTCACGCAACGCTCCCTCGTTGCGTGACGACCGACACTAAAAACGGATGCGAGGGAGACTAAGATTATCGCTGCTGAAAGCAATTATCAACCAACATTCCGTAAAAACGTTTAATCTTTTTGCCGATCTATCTAAATCTATCCCAAAACATCTTCTAATTTTTTTTTTTTGGTTTTTCAAAAAGTAGCACGACTAAAATCTGTTGAAGATATATCAAACGGCATCGCTAAAACTAAACTTCAATTTTAACTCTCACTGTAAAAGAAGATGATCATGAGTGAGCGAGTGAATGATGGAGAGTGGGAATTGGCTGACAAATACTTCAAAACCAGCAAACAAAAAAACAAAATAATTTTCTTGACAGTTCCCTGTACCATCTTAAAACGTAGCAATGACAGAGACACCTTGGACTCTCAGATATAAAATAAAAAGATCAGTTTATCATTTTTATGTCTATCATAAATCAAGGTTTCATTTGAATTGATTTAGTCAAATTTGTCAGATTATACATGATAATATCAAAGGTCAAGCGATACTTAACTCGCCAGGTCAAATAAAACAAACTTCTGGCAATGAATGTTCTAACTTGCGATGAAATGTTTTCAAAAATAATAAGTTTCAGTCAAATATAAATGAAAAACAACGAACCATAATACATTAGATTCTGTCAAGCTCAACTTTATTTTTATGGATCATGATTTAGTTAACTCGGAATCATTAAAATCTTGACAGACATCTACAGCTAGCTAGCCAGCCAGCGATGAGAAGTAACTGGGAAATATTTGTCTACCCTATGTTTAATACTAAAACATAATCAACGTCGTTATACACTCAATCTTAATAAAAAAAATGTTTTCCCCCAAATGGACAAAGTTTCTATAATTTCTAATTGCAATACATTGCTGTTATTTAAGAAAAATCAAATAAATTTAAACTATGTCTTGAAAAAGGATTCCTAAAATGTTGCAATAATGGCCGTAGGTTCCCTGAGATATCATAATCGAGTATACCTAGCAATTTTGACTTTTAAAGTGATAAATTATAGAATAATAATGATTTAAAGGTAAACCTTATGAAATTAATGTCCATTTACGACGTCCATTTGTTTATTCTTCATCTTCGTCAACATCGTGATGTTTTCACTCGGTCCCAGTCACCTCTTCCACTAAATCTCCCATCGCCTTCATCTCAGTTTCAATCTCGGACCTCTTCTGCTTGAAGTTATCCACGTCCTCCATAATCTGGAAGATAAGGTTCTCCAGTGGTGGGGCTTTGCGCTCAGCTTCTTCATAGCGGTAGACCATTGCTTTAAGTTGCTCTTGAATGAACTCGATTTTTTCTTCCCCTTCAATCTCACGCTCACTAGCAGCTGCATCCTTCTCCTCCAGCGACGCCATGTTTTCCACACACCCAGTTAGATGGTTCTCAAGCATAGTGGCACGCTCTTCCAACTGGCCAGCTCTCTGATTTGCTTTCTCCAGCTCATTTGAAGTGACTTTGAACTTGAGTTCATTTTCGGCAAGCTTTATAGCTGCATCTTTGTCCCRGGCTATGGCTTCAACCAACATGTCTTCCATCTCACTCATCTTAGTATCGCTTTCTCTGTCCGTCACTTCCAGTTCTTTGCATGCATCCTCCTCGCTCTTCGTACGTCGCTTTATCTCCTCCAACTCATTAGTCCTGATGTCTAAAGTTTCTTTCGTTCTTTTTGCCTCGATTTCCACAAGTTGAATCCTTCGCTTGAAAGAATCCACATCAGCCAAGGCCTTTTCGAGCCGTGCCTCTGCTTCTCGTAGCTTTTCCTTTGCTTCAAGTTCCCTGTCTTCAGTTTGGTCAATTCTCTCTTTCATAGAGCTGAGTTTTGACTTCACTTTGCTCAGATGCTCAGCGGATGCCATGATGAATTAGAAAACTCTACGTGTTTGCGACGCTAGAATAAGAACAGCGCTAACGCCAAGAACAGGAGATGAAGCACGCTTCTTGCTAGCCTGTTTGAAACCGAGTGAACGGAGTGCTATGGATTGTAGCTATTGTGATTGAAATAGAGGCGTTTCAATAGCCACATAGCCAGCATACGCTGGAAATCTCAGTTTACTGTTCCAATCAACCTGTAATGGCTCCCACAAAACTGACAATAAAAACACATCAAAAACTCTTATAATTCACTTAAAATTGTACTTCTTGGTTGAACTGGAGACATTTTGAAATAAAATCAGTGCTYTTTTGAATTTTTCACAACCACAGATGTCCAACACTAAAACATTGCGTTTGAATCAATACAGTCACGCCTCACTCCTGTCACGAGCATATCGTGTCACGCAATTTTAAATCTTTTTCTATCAATGTCTGATTATTTTAAGGAAAAGATCCTAGTCATGTCACTTTGGCAAGATAAACTGTGTTCATAAGTTACAAGAAACGGTTTTTGTCTGAGAATTTAAGAGTCAATGCGTGACAACGAGTCAAGAAGTCTTGCGGCAACGGTTACGGCATTTTTCTAGTTTATAGATAAGATCTATGACTACAAGAAGTTGTCCATTGTAAAATTCAAATACATGCAGCCATAACACGGCCATAGGATTTCTGTCTTGGCTACGATCCAATTATGCAAGCTGAATAGATGGCAAGATCACAAATAAACAACCAGTCGATAATACTTAGTTATATGATTGAGGTATTTACGGATTTTATACTTTATGAAAAACCTGTCAGGTATCTAATGATGAAAAGATTGCCCGTATAATAAGGCCTATTAAAATCACATACGACATGCGAATGTCGACAAAGACACTATAACAGATAAGGACTTTTATGAATCTACCTATGGGATGTACCAGGCACTTTAAAGTGTTTGAATGTATTGTTGACAAGCGGAAGTAGAACACGATGGGACATCTGGGGTCATTCTCGTCCTTAATCGCATTGTACTCCCTGAGCCCATACTCTTTATATTGCTCCTCGTTGTTTATTGGAGGAAGAGGCAAGTTGTTTTATTTGGCCCAAAGTTCAGCCTTGATAAGCTACTAATAAATCATATGGGTGGCATTGATGGTGTATAGTGGTTTTCTTCTACCCAAAGCCTTCTCAGCTTTCTAACGAAAAATCAAAAAAAATCTTCGATATTTTGGTGAGAAGGGTCTGGGTACGAGAATGTGGTTTACTAGTACCTCTGACGCTTTCTTCTTTCTCATTCAAGAAATGCTACTGTTTTTTTTGTCCCCAGTTTCATTCACATGCAGGTTAATTAAGCTTTGTTCATAAGTCAGCTATTCGTAGATACATGTCTGAATGTCTCGAACAGGCATTGTTCAAGTTGCACATTCTTTACATTACATTTGCGGACAGAGGAAAAGCGGACCCAGAAAATAATCAAAGCGAGAGAACAAACACAGAAAAATAATCAACAAAATGTAGAGTTGGTAGAGTGGAGTAGACAAGATTATACTACTCTTCCCAGTAGACCGAGGCAGTTGTAAATTTTTTATGGCCTTGGTACCGTCTGTTATATTAACCGCAAGTACATTTCAAATCGTCCACGTGATGCCAATGTTGTACCACGTGGACAAGGTTTCTACACCACGTGATCAAAACTTGACTGAATTTTGAACACGTGGTGTAAAAAACTTGTCCACGTGGTACAACATTGGCATCACGTGGTTGATTTGAAATGTACTTCTGGACAACATAACGGACGCTACGAATGCGATAAAAAAATCACAACTTCCTCAGTCTATTGGGAAGAGTGGTATCCCGTTCTTAAAAAAGAGTTTTTCTATTACTCTTCCCTACTGAAAGGAAAAAGCCCTATATCAAGTATCTGTTAGAAGCTGTCCACGACCGTGGATAAATAAATTGAACTCAAAAACTTGTCATAAACCGGTTATTACTGGAATTACGTTATCGAACTCTATATCCTACCAAGAGAATATGAACTAGATCATTTTCTCTTGATCCAACTCAATAGACATTTATATAATAAATTTTCAAAAACGCGCGCTCTGATTGGCTGAAAAGCTATGTTTTATCAGAGTATAGAAACTTGCATAGATATGCCGCCAAAACCATGTTTTCTATACAAAATTAAACATAGAAATGATGTCACAGGATTTAAAGCATTTTGACATTTTGAATTTAAAATATTTATTTATTTTTATTAAAAAGTGCGTCTTTCTTCTAAAAAAGGAAAATATGTCGTTTTGAAGCACATTTGATTGGTACTACATTTCGACGAGTAAAGCTTTCTTTCGTTTGTGCTGTGACTATTACAATGACCTTATTTCACTAAACTAGAAGCTTTTTGCTAGACACGTGAAGGTGTTAGAGAAGTCAAAAAATAATTTTAAACATCTTTAATAGTCTAACAAGAATAAACAAATATATTGTATGGAACTTAAGCTACGGCACGTGATTTCTATAACGTTTTTCGTGTCCTACAGCTCCGCTCGTGTTTTATGAGAGAACCATACATAACTAAGCCTGATCTATTTGTTAAGCAAAAACTGGGTATCATAACAAATCTAAAAACGTCAAGACCTATTTCTTCCAGGAAGAGCGATCTAAACTTGAGGAAGTTTTGTCTTAGGCCCGTTTACACGAAGCCGGATATTTTTTATCCGGGTAAAAAAATATGCGTTTACATGCGGCTTCGTGTAAAAGTTCATCGTTTTCGCATTGTTTTCGACCGTTTACATGAAAACGCTCCATCAACTCGAAAACGCTCATAGGAGCTAAATGAGCATGCGCATAGTTCCTGAGCCTGCGATCTCCTTTGTTTAGTGACGTCAGCGTTTACCAAAAGTGTTTACACGAGCGTTTACAGGGAAACGCATAGCCAGCGTTTTTCAAAAATATTCGCTTTGATAAGCGTTTTCGAAAATAGCCGGCTAAAGACTGTCTCCGTGTAAACGGTAGGCCTAAAAGGATAAAAAAATATGCGTTTACAAAAATATCCGGCTTCGTTTAAACGGGGCCTTAGAATTCTTCGTTTCCAACCACGTGTATTTTGCTGGTGCTAAAGTACTTTTTGGTTCCAATCAAAAAACAATCCTTATGACCATGTAGAGCTACTTATAATACAACGCTGAGCAAAAAATTGGAGCATTAGAGAATTTGTAAAACGAGCTATGAGCGAATGAAGTTACCGATATTTTAGCGTAAATGTATGGCGAAAACTCGCTGGATGATATCTAGTGTCATCCAACATGGCGTCCACAATTTCAAAATAATATTTAATGACAAAAATCCATCAAATTCACTTCAAACAAGTACCAAATCTAATTTAGAAACTTGTACAACACTAAAAGATTTTGATTTGGGAAAAATATATTTCTTTTACTTTTTAGACACGTATTGAGCGTAAGGTGAGGATTACCGATTAGAAAATTAGATTCGCACAACTCGGAAATAAACGGATGAAACGATTTGAAATTTTCTACACTTAGGGACATCATAGTTCTCTAAAACATATCAAAGAATCGAGTTTCTAGCATTCATAATTAATTTYATGTTGTTATTTTCTTGGTCTATGACGTCACGTGCAAACGAAGAATATTTTCGTCTTGCAAACAATAGTCCTTGATTCCTGTCGGAATTTAAATTGGTAATTTGCAGCACGCCGTTCTCTGTGCCATGCTAGGAACACGGATCTTTCTTGGTGAACTCATTTCATCAGGCAAAAAAATTTATGTCAGGAATGCCCCCCACGCCCCAAATTTTCGCGACAATTAAACTTGTGGGGAAAGGTTCCCTTTTTAACTCGTGGATACCAGAAGCGTAGAAACGAGTTATTATGAGGTGTCTGAATATGCAAATGTGTCGCTCACCAAGATGTTAGCAGATCGATAATYAAAYGTTTATCGATCGTCTTACGTCATCTGCTTACGCACGTTAAACGACACTAAAATGTACAAAGCTCTTATTCAGTATAGACTACTTTCGCTATTTATATGACGAAATGAACTGCTGATGTCCCATGTGGGATATTTCTAGCACTGTGAACCCAATGTGCATGCGCACACTCACATATAATTTTCTCTTCGGATTATTTATACCAATATGATCGAGGAAAGATGCAAGTTGAAGTAAAATAATATACAATTAATGCAATTAACGGAAACGCTTATGTCAACATATTTATATTTTTTCAGAAGGCTCGTAGGTAGAGCCGGATGCATCCAAAAGGAACTTTTCATTAGTTTTCAAAACGAGAGTCATGGAGTCTTGAAGAAAGTTTGGCTAGTTTTGTCATCCAAATAAGCCGTTCTGAATAGAAAAGAGATTGATCCGTCGGACATCACAAACAGCCGAAGCAATGTTCTTGTATGTAAACGGCTGCGAAGGTACAACTAACCAGTAATTTACAAATTTTTTTGTCATCGCCAAATCAGATGTTAATCAAAGACAACGACTGATCTTCATGGTTCCTGAACTAGATACAAGGGGGAAAAAGTCAAATCTCAAACCCTTTGACGGGGGAAAATCGACTACACTCTACTATTTTCCTCTTTTACCGACATAGTGGTAAGAAGCTGGGGAAAAAAACCCAACATGATAACGACATCAATAAGCGTGCACTCATTGTTTGAACATCGTGGTAAAATTCTCAAAGCTAATTTTGTTCGAAAAAAGTATAAAACCCTCCTACGTTCAGTAGTTAAACCAATGTAAATCTTTCTTTTTTTTTTTTTTGTCATCGCCAAATCAGATGTTAATCAAAGACAACGACTGATCTTCATGGTTCCTGAACTAGATTCAAGGGGGAAAAAGTCAAATCTCAAACCCTTTGAGGGGGAAAAATCGACTACACTCTACTGACAAAATTGGATGAGGCCGTAGGCCGAGTCCAATTTGGCAATCAGAGGAATTTTTCGAGTCTAATTATTTCTTGGTTGGGGAACATGAAATCTCATTACCTATTAATTATATAGCTGCCTAATTAATCCCATATCGACAAGACCTGTCCAATTAAGAAAATAATTGGACAGTTACCTATATATGGGATTAATGAGAAGCTGTATAATTATTTTCTTAA